TGTGTGTACTTCCAGTCAGAGGTGATTAGACACTGTCTCCATGTCTACGTCTAAAGTAAACTTCATTCTTTTTGAAGATAACAGGCACACAAAGAAAACCTATTATAAATAAAGAATCACATACAGACCTTTCTGTTCAGCATTTGCATATCTTGTGCCATAAGAAACCAGAATAATGTACCACATATTCAGAACCTACAATTACATGGAGTTCTGACCAATCTGAAGTGTGGGCTAGGAATCACACTTGGGTACCAAGTACTCCTGAGACCAGTACTCCTGAGACCACTCTCCAGTTCCCATATGTCATAATGCTGAAGGAGAAGGTGTCCCAGTTTCCTTCTGTCTCTTGTCTCTTGAAAGATAACATCACCTCTAGATGGTTGTCAAAGGATCTAATAGACTGAATGTGAATGGAATTTCTATATTGCTTCTTATCTTCATTGTTAAAACAGATCTCTTTATGTGAATAAAGATAAAAAACTTGGTTAAAATAAACCTGAGTCAAGCCAGATTTGATTAGGAAAAGTCCACATAGCCAGGAATTTCAAGAGTTCATGATGGGGAACAAGTTGACCTCAAACTTACTGAGATGGGCCCCACACATACTCCTGTGTGCTATGATTATAGCCATACACCTCTAAGTCCAGCTGAAATAAGTGTTTTGAAAGCACTTATCATTGAATCAGAGAAAGAAATAAAATAAGATTTAGAGGGAGCACCATTGTTTTCATGACAAGCAATATTTCTTGAAATTCTATAATATGAAGAGTCAAATAATTTCATATGTTCTCAATAATGGGTTATTTTCATTGCATTGTTAATTCCATCCATTTTAAAATGTTTGAAGTGTGACTGTGTGAATACACCTGTAATACACCTGTGCCATGATGTGTATGTAGCACTGACAGGAAAACTAACAGGGGTCTATGATCTACTTCCACTTTGTGAGTTCTAGTGATGATACCTAAGGAACAATTTGGCTGCAAGTGACCTCAATGGCACTTCTTTGTATTGAAAAATTGTTCACAAATGAGCTCATATAGAAGTGTGCACATGGAAGCACCCAAGTGAAAATATGGGAAACAACTGTAGAAGTCTTATCGGTAACCCAGAGATAGAACTCAGGTTCTCAGAATTAGCAGCAATGAACTTTACTAAATGAGACAATTCTCTGCCATATAATTTATTTTTTAAGAAAATGTTATAAATATATATTTAGCCTTCATAATGAACAAATTAGAAATGTATGGCAGTATAAATAAGTTCATATGCAAAGATTTATTATTCAAGATATCCTGGGTCCTTATACCCTTGAATGAATTTACATTTACAATCTGAAAGACAATAATTAACTGATGTACTATTTCTTCAAATCAAATTTGATCATCACTGATATAGTTCTGTGGGAAGAAACTGTTGAATACTAGGCAAGAAACCCAATATTGATCCCAGCAGAACATCAAGCTATGGTATGAGATACACAACTGATTGCTGATTATTTTGCTTTATTATATCAATATAATATAAATGAAAATATTTTTTGAATACACACATGAGGTATTTAATGTTTCTTATAATCACACTTTTCAGTCATTGTAACATTAACATTGTTAAATTGTGTTGAGAAAACAGAACACATTGGGAGTTCATCATCTACCCTTGAACTTGTGCTCAGGTGGCAGACACATAAGCATCATGACTTCAAATGTATCTCTGAATCATTACTGACATCCAAGCCAGCATGAATTATAAGCAAAAGACCTCAAGGAATTTTGTAAAAAGATGAAAGTCAAAACCAGAAACAACAACTGACCACCCTTTCACTTCCTTCAAAATTCCTTACTTGAAAATTATGATCAGACATGTTTTAATATTTTAATAACCAATGGGTCACTTCAATGATGGGGATGTCATCTTATACATTACATCATAAAAATACCTATTACTAGGGAAAGGCACAATAGAAGCTGAACAAAAGCCATAGAAGGAATATAAAGTATAAAAAATAAATTTTAGTAAATAAAGTTGTCACAATATAGAACACTTTAGTACCTACCTCAAATGTTTCAAAATAGAAACCAAAATGCAATGATTTCCACCATTAATCTTGAGTGAACATGTTACGTAATTTACTTCTTTCAAAGTTATGATGAAAAATAATTTTTCTTCAAGCTGAAGACAACATTGATGGCTAAAGTCAATAAAAATTGTTTTCTGCTTATGAGTTTGTTCCTACTTCCAAAATTCAATGTAATATAAATAGACATTAAAATATTTATAGGACTAGAGTCATGTCTAGGTGACTAAGAAATCTTCATTCCAAGGACTCAGGTCAAATTTTTAAGAGCTACCTGTAATTTCTGCTACAAGAAGATGCAAGGTGTTAACGTTTTCAGAATACAGAATGCACATTAACATTCTATCTCTCACACACACACACATACACATGCACGTCATTACAATAAAAGCAAATTGTTTAAAAAAAATTTTCACACGTGGAAATTTTTCTCCTGTAAGCATTTATTAATGTAAAAGATGAGTCCAGGCATATTACAGCTTACTTACAGAGTTTTTCTTCATGAAGTATTGGTTCATGTAAAGAGAAATCAAATTAAAACTTGAAGTAAGAGAAATAAATCCTTCTAAGTTGGTGGTATCATTTGGGAAGATTTAGGACATGCTGCACTGCTGAAGGAAATATGTCACTGAGAGTAGGCTATGAGAATTTACATTCATACGCCAGTTCCAGTTCCAACACTCTGCTTCATGTGGAAGATTACGGCTTTGAGTTCTTAAGTTCCAGCTTTAGTGCCATGACTGACACTTTTTGTCATGGCTCTTTCAGGGTGATCCTATTATCCTCTAGAACCATGGCCTGAATTATATGCTTTTATATGTTGAAAGACATTATATCACAACCGAAAAGGAGGCAGTACACATCCATAAATATTTACACCTGAATTACATATTCCATGCAGTTGAAGAGAGTATAAAATCTAAAAGGGTTACATTATTGTTCAAATTCATTTTGCAAGTCTTAAAATTCTGGAAGGAAGGATAAGCTGACTACTGAAAGTTAGGCAACACCAACAGCTGTGAAAAGAAGTTTGCCCCCACTAGACATAGCAATTCTCTTTCTCTCTTGAGAGAGAGTCATTACAGCTGGGCTCTGCTCCATTCTTCCATGAAAGCTTCCCAGCAGAAATGTCTGTTGCTGATCTGCTCCACTCTCCTAAGGGAGTCTCCCATAAGAGATGTCCATTGCTTCTGTGCTCTTCTGGGCTAAGTGAGTTTCCAAACAGTTATGTCAACTGTATCTCAGTTCAACTCCACTAAAGATTTCCTGATCCATTCCAGTGAAAGAAGGTGTTCATATAAATCTCAGTCAAGAGATTTATTTAGGAGGGAAGAATCCAGAGTGTGAGTTCCTCTGCAAGTCTGGAAAGAGGCAGCTGCCAACTGAATGAGCATATGACTCATATAGGGCTTCTTGGAGGCAGAGCAGCTCTAAGGAGATTTAGAAGGTGAGAACTGGTGAGATTTAAATGCCTGGGCTTGAACAAGCTCAGAGATGGGCTGGATTTTGTGCTCTGGAGTTGGTTGGTTTTGAGCTCAGAGAGACAAGGGTAGATTGCATTTTTTTTGCTTTGGTTTGAGAGCCAAAGCAGATTTCTTTCAGTATCCAGATTTGATGTTTGACTGTGTTTTCAGGGTGATGTTGTATCTTTCACTAGTTCTGGAATTAGGAGCAAAGGGTTTTCCTTTGTATCTCATTTCACTACCAGGTTGCGATTTTTATCTTGGCTCTATCTCCTTCCCAAAAGACTTCATAAAATCACAAATTAGGTATTGTCCATGAGTTTCCTGGTGCAAATAAAATAAAAGCTGGTATCATAATGCTTGAACAGATTGTTGACACTATCATTTTTTACAGAATAAATACTGTTGGTTAACAGACTGTAAATGTGATGGCTTAAAATTAATTTGCAATAAGAAACCCTCAGTGTCTTCTTCAGGTACCCAAAAACTTTATCAGATTGATTACACACAAAAAGTTTTACTCCTGTAACAAGTACAAAACATTTACCACACTGTTTATTTTTTTCACTACATTATGATTATTCTCATGTTTTTGAAGACTATAATCCTTAAGTTTACAGTTTCTCTCCAGGATAGTTTGTTTCATGTATTTGGAGATTATTGTGACAACAGATTTGCGAAACAAATCCATTCACAAGTTTCTTTCCAATCTGTGTCCTTTTCTGCATTTGAAGATGAATAAGACATGAAAAGACTTTTCCAAACTCATTTCATGCACACCTTTATGCACCCATGTGTGTTCTTTGATGCCTTTGAAGAGCATTGTTTTGAGCAAAGACCTTATCACACTGATTACATTCATAGGGTTTCTCTCCAGTATGTGTTCTTTCATGTATTTGAAGAGCACTGTGTTGAGCAAAGGTCTTACCACAGTGATTACATTCATAGGGTTTCTCTCCAGTATGTATTCTCTTATGCAATTGAAGAGTATGGGCCTGTCCAAATGCCTTACCACACTGATTACATTCATAGGGGTTCTCTCCAGTGTGTGTTTGCTTATGCGATTGAAGATGATTGTGTTGTGCAAAGGCTTTACCACACTGATTACAATCATAGGGTTTCTCTCCAGTATGAGTTCTTTCATGTGTTTGAAGATGACTGTGTTGAGCAAAGGCCTTACCACACTGATTACTTTCATAGGGTTTCTCTCCAGTATGTATTCTTTTATGCAATTGAAGAGTACGGGGCTGTCCAAATGCCTTACCACACTGATTACATTCATAGGGTTTCTCACTAGTATGTGTTCTTTTATGGTATTGAAGAGTATTTTGTTGAGCAAAGGCCTTACTACAGTGATTACATTCATAAGGTTTCTCTCCAGTATGTGTTCTTTTATGCACTTTAAGATGACTGTGTTGAGCAAAGGCCTTACCACACTGACTACATTCATAGGGTTTCTAGGTAGTATGTGTTTTTTTATGCAATTGAAGAGTATGAAGCTGTCCAAAGGCCGTACCACACTGATTACATTCATAGGATTTCTCTCCAGTATGTGTTCTTTTATGCTTTTGAAGAGCACTGTGTTGAGCAAAGGCCTTACCACACTGACTACATGGATAGGGTTTCTCTCCAGTATGTGTTCTTCTATGCAATTGAAGATGATTAAGTCGTGCAAAGGCCTTACCACACTGATTACATTCATAGGGTTTCTCTCCAGTATGTGTTCTTCTATGCCTTTGGAGATCACTGTGACATGCAAAGGCCTTACCACACTGATTACATTTATAGGGTTTCTCTCCAGTATGTATTCTTTTATGCAATTGAAGAGTATGGGGCCGTCCAAATGCCTTACCACACTGATTACATTCATAGGGTTTCTCTCCAGTGTGTGTTCTTTTATGCGATTGAAGATGACCGTGTCGTGCAAAGGCTTTACCACACTGATTACATTCATAGGGTTTCTCTCCAGTATGTGTTCTTTTATGGTTTTGAAGAGTATTTTGTTGAGCAAAGGCCTTATTACACTGATTACATTCATAGGGTTTCTCTCCAGTATGTTTTCTTTTATGCTCTTTAAAATGACTGTGTTGAACAAAGGCCTTACCACACTGACTACATTTATATGGTTTCTCTCCAGTGTGTGTTCTTTTATGATATTGAAGATGATCGTGTCGTGCAAAGGCCTTACCACACTGAATACATTCATAGGGTTTCTCTCCAGTATGTGTTCTTTTATGTATTTGAAGATGACTGTGTTGAGCAAAGACCTTACCACACAGAATACATTCATAGGGTTTCTCTCCAGTGTGTGTTCTTTTATGCAATTTAAGATGACCGTGTCGTGCAAAGGCTTTACCACACTGATTACATGCATAGGGTTTCTCTCCAGTATGTGTTCTTTCATGGTTTTGAAGAGTATTTTGTTGAGCAAAGGCCTTACTACACTGATTACATTCATAAGGTTTCTCTCCAGTATGTGTTCTTTTATGCTCTTTAAGATGACTGTGTTGAACAAAGGCCTTACCACACTGACTACATTCATGTGGTTTCTCTCCAGTGTGTGTTCTTTTATGTGATTGAAGATGATCATGTCGTGCAAAGGCCTTACCACACTGATTACATTCATAGGGTTTCTCTCCAGTATGTGTTCTTTTATGCCTTTGAAGATCACTCTGATATGCAAAGGCCTTACCACAGTGATTACATTCACAGGGTTTTTTTTCAGTATGTGTTCTTGTGTTCATTTGAAAAGAACTGTGATGAGCAAAGGCTTTACAACACTGATTAGATGCATAGGATTTCTCACTATAATATCTTCTTTCATTCCTCTGAAGCTGACTATCATATGCCAAGGCTTTATCACATTGAGGATGTACTGAATATTTCTTTCCAGAATTATTTCTTTTAATCCTGCAAGTATAATTGGAACACATAAAAGTTTTACCACATTCAATACACTCATGAACCTACATATCTGTATGTATTATTTTTATAATTTAGTCTAATAGTAAACAGAATTCAGATATTAAGGTTTTATAACTTTGTTTAAACTCATGCTTTCTTCTGTAATTAAGGGTTCTTTTGCATTTTTTAAGACACTTGTCATGGTAAATTCCTTTATTATGTGGTTTAAATTTTCACCTTTACAGAAACATTTTTCAATTTGACATATTTCACATATTTGAAGACAACTGAATAACCTCAGAACAACTTTATTGCATTCTTAAACTGTCCTATACTGTAAATCATACTACATTTGCTAAGTAAACTAGGACAATAAGAAGTATTTGCACAATTCTAGAACTCATGTGGCTTCTCTGCACTGTGACTTTTTTTATCTATTAACAGTTATGTGAGAAAACCAATTTTTTATATAGTTCAATCAATTTGAGAAAGGGTACTTAACATGGGGACTGATGCTTATCTTCTAATTGTTTTTAGAGAGAGATATGCTGTGATTTTCCATATTCCCATGTGCATAGGCTTGTATTGAGAGTAATTTGTGGTATACAAGGTAAAGGAAGAATCACAAACAAAAAATTTCCACACTGAATTATCACAGTGTGACATTCTGTTCCTCATAGATGTGCAGTAGAAGTTTCTTCACAACAACTGCCACTTAACTCTAACTGCTTCTGTCACCAATCTTAATATAGTAATAAGAAGTATATGAGTAATACAAGATTTACTATGTGCTCTCGATTTATTAGAAAGTCTTGCAGATATACTTATCATCACTCCAATGTATACACATTTTGTATTATGAGTAGTAAGAAATAAATGGATTGGTAGATCTACAGAATAGCTCTCATGGTTGTATGCTTCAAATGCTGATATCTGTTTAGCCGTTTCTCATGACTTCTTAATAAAAAAAAAATGCCTTGAAAATGTAATTCAACTACATGAAATTCTATATGGATTTTTCAGAAGTTAATAATCATAAATGCACTTAAAGCTGTGCTTATTCACACTGTTGCTTTTATTTAAATCTTCTAGGACACATTATCATTTTATTAGAGGATCATTATTTTCAGCATGCATAAGAAAATTACCTTTCATGTCTTCTAGAATGTTGACAATGTTCTTTACTATTATGTTCTTCCCAAATGTATCCTAAAATGCAGTACCAGAAAATGTATGTTATAATATTGAATACTATGCATCATTTAAGTAACTATTTTAACTAAACCTTAGAACCATTTTGATTTATTTACCTCATTCTTATTCTCCTTTCTAAATCAAATTATTTTTTTCTCATTTTTTTTTGTTTTTTTCGAGACAGGTTTTCTCTGTAGCTTTTGGTGCCTGTCCTGGAACTAGCTCTTGTAGACCAGGCTGGCCTCGAACTCAGAGATCTGCCTGCCTCTGCCTCCCGAGTGCTGGGATAAAAGGCGTGTGCCACCACTGCCCGGTTTAAATCAAATTATTGAAGAACATCATTAACCAAGAAAAAGCTGTCCCTTTATTTTGAAACAAGAAGGAAATTAATTTTTACCTATAGTAGTGAGGTTCCTGTAGGTCTCCAGCATCACATCTTTGTAGAGATTCTTCTGGGAAGGATCCAGCAAATTCCACTCTTCCCAAGTGAAGTTGATATGCACATCATCATAGGTCACTGCCTTCTAAAATATGCCATACATGATAGTGACATGATAGTGACACCATTGTAAATGTATACTTCTTTGATAGTATAGTCATAAAATTCTGGTATTCCCTAGTCATATTCTAAGACATAGACACTCACTTTAGAAGGAAAGTGTATAGGAGAGTCATCTCTGTCATTTCTTTACTCTTTGAATGAGATATCACCTTACATGTGAAATATCTATTAGCAAAGAGAAACAAGAAAACATATCAACAGTATATAGTACACATGAGAAAATTTTATGAAGATTAACTAACTACAAATAGAAAAATAAGTTGGACAACCTGGTTGTATTGACTCATGCCTTTAAGCTCAGAACTTCAAAAGCAGAGGCGGGTATATTTTTCCCTGAGTTAAATGCCAGACAAGTCTATGCAATAAGGTCCAGGAAGGTGAAAGTACATAGTAAAACCCTGTCTTCCAGGAAGTGGTGGTGCATGCCTTTAATCCTAGCAATCAGGAGGCAGAGGCAGCTTGGTCTCTGTGAGTTTGAGGACAGCCTGTACTTTGAGAGATAGTTCCAGGACAGGCTCCCAAGCTACAGAGAAACCCTGACTCAAAAATCAAGTAAACAATAAACAAAAAACAAACAAACAAAAAGACACTGTCTACATTGCAAATATCAGTGAATCAAGCAAGAATAATAGAGGAACTCAGAGGTTTTTACTGGAGTTCCTACAAAGAAATATACATTCACTCCACTTCTCTATTTATCTTCCAAACATCCGAAGTGCCCTAATTTAAATTGTAATGCCAATAACATTTTACAAACAGAGCTTTATGTTTAAACAGTTACAAATGGACAGATGAAAACATTAGCAATATAAAACTTGGGCATAAGTAATAAACACAAGCTGGGAGAGGGATGACTGAGTAGTACCTAGCTTTTGATGGTCTTGAATAGATGTGGCAGAATTGCCAGTACTTATTTGGGAATCATAACTATCCATTATTCCAAGTTCACAAATTCTGTGATCCTTTGATCATGTTGAGGACCAGGTACTCATGTGGTCCATAGTCATGCCGATACATCAAGTTGTTATATTAATTTTAAAAATGTAAAGTAAGCATAACAAGCAGGAAGAAGTTCAAGCACCTACAATTCAATGACTCTGAATTCTTAGGCAGTACTAATGTCACACCTACTGAAAGACTTCCAGACCCCAAAATGGGGGAAAAAGCTACTTCTATCATAGCCAACACAGACCAGAATACCAAAGAGCAGATAGAAACCAAGGAATAAACGTGCATCCAACAAAGACAAACAGAGATACTGGCACCTAGACCTGCAGTCACCTCAGACCCAGACACCTGACAAGAGCACAATAACATGATCAACAACAGACAGAACAATATGTCACTACCATATTCCAACTCTCCTACTACAGCACACCCTGAATATTCAAACCAAGTCAAAGTACAATTAAGTTAGATCAACTATGTAGATGTTTTATGTCCTTAAGAAAGAAGTGAATGAATTTTTTAAAAAAGCAAAGGAAGAGGCGCTTTGTTTATGAGCTACCCATCTAGCACTGAGATCTGATCTGGGCACCAGGAGAGCCATCACCAGGGTGAATGAGTTTCACCTGCAGCAGCAGCCCTAGACATGGAACTCAGACATTCCTCATCCCCCTATACTTCCTGGACTTCCTGCAGGGGCTATACTCCCCAGATACTGCCTCTCTCTTTCTATCCCACCCAGCTTGCATCCAGAACCTCCCTTCTGCCTCCCTCCCCTCTTCAGGCACATTACATCACCCAGCTCAGCCTGTTTGGGCTCTGGGTCCAAATCGTGAGGGCAACCAGGCAGACAGGAGTTCCTTTGTCTCAAGAGCCTGCCTGCAACAAGAAAGGTAGGCGCTTTGTTTACGAGCTACCCAACCAGCATGGAGATCTGATCTAGGCACCAGAAGAGCCATCACTGGAGAGTGCCATCACTGGGAAGGTACATCAGTGGGCAAGGAGACCTGGTCCTGTAAAAGAAATTCCATAGGGGAGCATTTGGAGGAAGAGATGGGCAGGTGCCAATGCAAGAATTCACCCAACAATCTGAAAAACAACATGAAACCACCAGAACCCAGTGACCTCAAAACAGGAGGACATGAACACCTTAATCAAGAAAAAGTAGAAAAAATTGACTTTATGAAAGTGATTGACACCCTTAAACAGCATGTAAAAAATGCCCTTATAGAAATGGATGAGAAGTATAACAGAAAGTTTGAAGAATTGAATAAATCAGTGAATGATACCCTAGGAAACCAAGGAAAAACAATCAAACAGATAATGGAAACAGTTCAAGACATGAAAACTGAAATGGAGGGAAGGAAGAAAACACACACAGGGCCGGATGGACATGGAAAATTTAAGTAAACAAACAGAGACTACAGAAACAAACATAGCCAACAGAATACAAGGGATAAAAGAAAGAATCATAGCTTCTGAAGATATCATAGAGAAAATAAATGCTCTGATCAAAGAAAACAGCAAGTCCAACAAACTTGCATCACAAAACATTCAGGAAATCTGGGACACAATAAAAAGATCAAACCTAAGAATAATAGGAGTAGAAGAAGGAGAAGAGTCACAGCTCAAAGGCCCAGAAAATATTTTTAATAAAATTATAGAAGAAAACTTTCCCAACCTAAGGAAAGATATACCTATGAAGGTTCAGGAAGCAAACAGAACACTGAATAGGCTGGATCAAAAAAAAAAATCCCCTCACCATATAATAATCAAAACACAAAGCAAACAGAATAAAGAAAGAATATTAAGGGCTGCTAAGGAAAAAGGCCAAGTTACTTATAAAGGTAAACCTATCAGACTTACACCTGTCTTCTCCATGGAAACCATGAAAGCCAGAAGGTCCTGGATAGATGTACTGCAAAAACTGAGAGACCATGGATGCAAGACCAGACTACTATATCCAGCCAAGCTTCCGTTCACTATAAATGGAGAAAACAAATTTTCCAGGATAAAAACAAATTTAAACAATATTTATCCACAAATCCAGCCTTACAGAAAGTAATAGAAGGAAAATCACTAACCAAGGAGTCCAACAATGACCACAATAACTCAGACATCTAGAGACCCTTCACCAGCAAAACTCAAAGAAGGAAAACACACAAACCCTACTACTAAAAAAGTGACCGGAGTTAACAACCACTAGTCATTAATATCACTTAATGTCAATGGACTCAACTCACCTATAAAAAGGCACAGGAGAAGAGATTGGATACGAAAACAGGATCCAACATTCTGTTGTTTACAAGAAACACACCTCAACCACAAAGACAGGCCCCTACTCAGAGTAAAGGGCTGGGAAAAGGCTTATCAAGCAAATGGACCTAAGAAACAAGCAGGTGTGGCCATACTAATTTCTAACAAAGTTAACTTCAAACTTAAATCAATCAGAAGAGTCATTGCCAAATTCCTTTTATGAAGCTACAGTTACTCTGATACCAAAACCACACAAGGACTCAACCAAGAAAGAGAATTACAGCCAATCTCACTCATGAACATCAACGCAAAAATCCTCAATAAAATACTGGCAAACCAAATCCAAGAATACATTAGAAAAATTATCCATTATGATCAAGTAGGCTTCTTCCCAGAGATGCAGGGCTAGTTCAACATATGGAAATCTATCAATTTTTTTTTTTGATTTTGCGAGACAGGGTTTCTCCGTAGCTTTTGGTTCCTTTCCTGGAACTAGCTCTTGTAGACCAGGCTGGCCTCGAACTCATAGAGATCCGCTTGCCTCTGCCTCCCGAGTGCTGGGATTAAAGGCATGTGCCACCCCCGCCCGGCATGTAATCCATCATATAAATAAACTGAAAGAAAAAACCATATGATCATTTCATTAGATGCTGAAAAAGCATTTGACAAAATTCAACATCCCTTTATAATAAAAGTCTTTGAGAGATTAGGGATATAAAGGTCAAACCTAAATATAATAAAAGCTATTTACACCAAGCCAACAGCTAACATCAAATTAAACAGAGAGAAACTCAAAGCCATCCCACCAAAATCAGGAACAGGACAAAGATGTCCACTCTCTCCATACCTCATCAATATAGAGCTTGCACTTTTAGCAATAGCAATAAGACATCATAATGGGATCAAGGGGATTCGAATTGGAAATGAAGAAGTTAAACTTTCATTATTTACAGATGATATGATAGTGTACTTAAGCGACCCCAAAAACTCCACCAAAGAACTCCTACAGCTGATAAACACCTTTAGTAATGTGGCAGGATACAAGATCAACTCCAAAAAATCAGCCGCCCTCCTATACACAAAGGATAAAAAAGCAGAGAGGGAAATCAGAGAAGCATCACCTTTCAAGATAGCCACAAACAGCATAAAATATCTTGGGGTAACTCGAACCAAGGAAGTGAAAGATCTATTTGACAAGAACTTTAAGGCATTGAAGAAAGAAATTGAAGAGGATACCAGAAAATGGAAGGATCTCCCTTGCTCTTGGATTGGGAGGATCAACATAGTAAAAATGGCAATTCTTCCAAAGGCAATTTATTGATTCAATGCAATCCCCGTCAAGGTCCCATCAAAATTCTTTACAGATCTTGAGAGGACAATAATCAACTTTATATGGAAAAAAAAAACGGGATAGCCAAAATAATGTTATACAATAAAGCAACTTCTAGAGGCAGAACCATCCCTGACTTTAAACTCTATTACAGAGCTACAGTAATGAAAACAGTGTGGTAGCAGCATAAAAACAGAGAAGTTGACCAATGGAATCGTATAGAAGATCCAGATTTTAACCCACAAACCTATGAACACCTCATTTTCGATAAAGGAGCTAAAAGTATACAATGGAAGAAGGAAAGCATCTTCAACAAATGGTGCTGGCAAAACTAGATG